GCCCCACCGTCTCAGTGGGTGGGTGCCACTTGGTCTTGACTTAAGGTCATGCTCAACCTCCTTAGCGATCAGGGAAATGCAAATCAAAACAACTTTGAGATACCATCTTACACCAGTCAGAATGGCTAAAATAAAAAACACCAATGATAGCCTTTGCTGGAGAGGTTGTGGAGTAAGGGGAACACTCATCCATTGCTGGTGGGAATGCAAACTTGTGCATCCACTTTGGAAATCAGTGTGGCGGTTTCTCAGGAAATTTGGGATCAACCTACTCCAGGACCCAGCAATACCACTCTTGGGAATATACCCAAGAGATGCCCTATCATACTACAAAAGTATTTGTTCAACTATGTTCATAGCAGCATTTTTTTTAATAGCCAGAACCTGGAAACAACCTAGATGCCCTTCCATGGAAGAATGGATGAAGAAAGTGTGGAATATATACATATTAGAGTACTACTCAGCGGTAAAAAACAATGACTTCTTGAATTTTGCATCCAAATAGATGGAAATAGAAAACACTATCCTGAGTGAGGTAACCCAGACCCAAAAAGATGAACATGGGATGTACTCACTCATAATTGGTTTTTAGCTATAAATATAGGACATTGAGCCTATAATTCGCGATCCTAGAGAAGCTAAATAAGAAGGTGAACCCAAAGAAAAACATATAGTTATCCTCCTGGATATTGGAAGTAGACAAGATTGCTGGGCAAGAATTGGGAACTGGAGGGTGTGGTGGGATGGGGGAAAGGGGAGGATGGGGAGAGCTTGGGGGAATGGGATGGTTGGGATAATGGAAGGATGGATATGGGAGCAGGGAAGTATATATCTTAATTAAGGGAGCCATTTTAGGGTTGGCAAGAGCCTTGGCTCTAGAGGGTTTCCCAGGGGTCCAGAGAGATGTTCCCAACTAGGTCCTTGGGCAGCTGAGGAGAGAGAGCCTGAAATGGCCCTATCCTATAGCCATATCTTGCATATCACCATAGAACCTTCATCTGGCGATGGATGGAGATAGAGACAGAGACCCAAATGTGGCGTTTTTAACTTCCGTTTTGTTGTCATCGTTTTGTTTTTGAGACATGATTTACTATAGTCCAGGCTGGCCTATGACTTACAACTACAGGTGACTTTGAACTCCTGATCCTCTCACCTCCACTTCCCAAGTACCATGATAAAGTACTTAACTGTATCAAGCTTAACTTCCTTTTTATCATATCAGCAGGGAGTGAGTTACAGCATTATGGTGATAGATCGGAGAAGGAGGATGGAGAAGGGACTCAAGAAATCATTTATCAGCTTTAATCCCAGCACTCGGGAGGCGGAGGCAGGTGGATCTCTGAGTTCGAGACCAGCCTGGTCGACAGGATGAGTTCCAGGACAGACTCCAAAGCTACAGAGAAACCTTGTGTCAAAAAAAAAAAAAAAAAAAGAAAAGAAAAAATCATTTATCAAAATATGTTTTAGTGTCTGTTTTATGTTTGACATTGTGTATTTTAGGTATTAGCTATATGGAGATTAACACAATCCTTACCTTAATGGAATTTAAAGTTGTACAGATTTATTTGCTCTTAGAATTTCTCAGTAATACCTCCATACCATTGCAGTGCTGGGAATGGAACCTTGGGCCTTCTGCATGGTATACGGTAGCTAATGCTACCATGGAGCAGCCTCCCCAGATCCTCTCAGGGTCTTTCTCTTTTATTATTATCTTTCTTTTTTGAGACAGGGCCTCTCTATAGCAGACCAGACTGTCCTCAAGCTCAAAGTGATCTGCTTGCCTCAGTACTGGGATTAAAGCTGTGCACCACTACATTAGTCTCTTCATATGCTTATGCGCTGTGTGGCTTGGCCAGCCAAAGAAATAGGATCATAGTTTTGTAAAACTTAACTTAGCCACAGATTCTTTTGGGTGGTGGTGGTAGTGAGACTTCTGTTACAGGAATGTTTTTCTTAGGGCATATTTTGAGAGACAAACGAACGGCCCAGAATGTTAGATCAGTGATGTGAGCATGTCATTTTTCTGCATTCTACTTGGTCACCGTGCTCTTTATATTGACAAGCATATGGCTAGAGACACTCTGTGAGTTGGGGGTGGGGTGGTGATAAATTTATGGGACATGTTACTAGCCAAGGCTGGGCCAGAAAGCTGGCATCTTAACTGCTCCTTGGGAAAAGATTGAACACATAAGTAAATCTAATACTTGGTTTAGGTGGGATGAAGAAATAAACGTTGTTTTGACACTGATCTAAAAGTTAGCAAGACTTTTTAGATCATTCAACCAGTTAGGCAGGGGAGTAAGATGTGGACTCAGAGCAAGGCTCCTTGAGTCATAAGACCTGACTCACCTCAGGTCTGCTAATCATGCCAGGCCCCTCTCATCATGTTAACTTGTGCAACTGAGGCAATCTCTTCCTCCCAGGGTCTTAGAAATGTCAAATAAATTGCCCAAGTATTGAGTGAATGAGCGACCTGCACACTGGTAGGTAGATGCTGTCTAAGGGAACATATGGAAATATGGAGGGAAAAGGGAATTGCTTGAGGAAGTGGAATAAAGTCTGTTCCTCTGCTTTGGACTAGAGTAAAATTAAATGTATAAAACACTTGTTATGAATGGTGGTAGTAGGGAGACAGGATTGTTTTGGTTATCCATATGTTTTAGGGTGAGAGATCTCTATGAGCCAGTAATTTTTTTGTGTAGCCACTGTGAAGCAAGTGCCAGTTAAAAATGCCTCAGTTGGTGGCACAGTGTGACCCTTGCCTCTTTTCTAAAGGTGGGTTGATAACTACAATAGGTAAAATCCTTTAATTGAAAATAAAATATATGCACAAATAAATAGGTCAAAGCTATTATTTGTGTACCCAACACACTTATCTTGTACACCGTTTTAAAATTTTTCATTATATTTATTTATTGTGTATGTGGGCGTGCCACAGTAATTTGAAGAGGTCAGAGGACAGTTTGTAGCAGTCAGTTCTCTCTATACACCGTGTGGGTCTTGGGGGTCAGGCTCAAGGTGGATAGCAAGTGATCGTCACACTTGCCCATGCACTTCTTTTTTTAAGAGAAGAACCTAAGCTTCATTGTCATGGTGTGTTCTGCACTTTGAAATTGTATTATGGTTGTGACATATTTGGGCAGTGGTGAGGTGAAGCACATGCAGCATAAGCAGTAGCATAGACCTTATTTCTGTGTAGGTATACACTTTTTAAGGGTCAGAAAAGAAGGAAACCTAACATTACATTCATTGTTGTTAGCCACACAGGAATGTACTGTAAATGTGCAGAATGACATGCATGGTTTATCTGAACCATTGCTCAGAGACATCCTGCTCTTTGACTTTATTTTTTTTAATCTTTGAATTCATCTTTTTTTAATATTTATCTTTTTTTAGTACAGACCTTCAGCTTTACACATGCCAAGCAAGTACTCAACCACTGAGTCACAATCCAGATTTCTTTCTAAAATTCTGTTTGTTGAAGTGCAGTTGTCACACAATAAAACCGACTCTGCTTGTAGTGTGCCCTGTAAGAGTACCTTGTTTGTATGAGTTTTGACAGATACATGTAGTCATTTGTGTAACAACCTCCACAATTGGTACAGAAACTGCTTTCATTATTCCTTAAATTCCTTTGTATTCCCTTATAGTCATACTCTTACTCCACCCGAACCCCCGAGAGCTACTGGATCTCCTTCCGTCTGTTCTAGATTTTATGTAAATAGAATCATACTCTCCTGATTGTGACGCTGAAGAAACCTTGATAAAATTCTAATGTTCAAAGTTTTTCCCCAATGAAAAGGTGTTATCACTTTCTAGGGATAGTTCCAGAGTCATGTTTCAGAAGGAAAATGTGGTCATTTTACTTGGCATGTACCCATCCCTTACTTCCACTGCCTTGTGGAGTTCATCTATTATGATCATTCTCTAAAGGTATTTTAGGTTACTATGCATCCTATGCTGATTTTGGTCCCAGCAGCTCAGAATTAAGTATTTTAAGGAACTTCTCATTAGTAAGGGAAATATACCCTTCAATGTATAGGAAGTACCAAGTCCACTAAAGAATGACCTAGAATGGACCTGTACATTATTTGCTAGTCATTTTGTACTTTTTCAAAAGGAGTAGAATAAAATGTAGAGGAAAATCAGTGCTGCTTATGAAGCTAGGATGGCACTGTAGCCGTGTGCACCGCTCTTTGTGAGCAGACATGTAGAAACCACAGGTGCAGTACCTAAGTACCATTCTATAATGGCTCCTTTTTTTTTTTACAGACTATTAGTTTCTTTAACCAACCTCATATAGATAAGGCCTTACATAATTAATACAGTGCAGTACTCTTGTACACATGGAATAAATGTACTTGAACTCTTCTAGACCAGTTCTTTCTAACCCCAAACCAACATGGTAAACTGGGATAATTTTCTTCCATACTTGACAACAACATTAAACTTTCCAGCAATTCAAGTTATACACGTGTGTAAGTACTTCCGTGGAAAGGCCAGTGTGTAGCACCAGTGGTGGCATCTCTTCCAAGCTTTGCATCATCTGAACAGAGTTAGAGAGACATCCAGCATACTTGATTTTTAAAAAGCCAGACATCAGCAAAGTTATGTTTCTGTTGTGGTGCCTGGTTCCATCTTTTATGAGTTTCTTAGTATAAAGGCACTTTAAGTCCTACAATTGTATTTAATTATCTTCTTAATCTTGTGATGATACTGCAGTATCTCCTGCTAAATTCCAAAATCAAAGGGAAGCACGTGTCAGAGAGCTGTGTAGTTTATTAATATATGTTATATTAATGTTTATTAATTTCTGTATGTTTATGAGTTTGAGATTTACATACTGGACTGTACAAACTTGATTTAGTGTTTTTAACATGTTAGTTATGCTTCAGATGAAAGACAATGTCTCAAGTTACCAATACAAGGATCTTTTCGTTTGTTCTGAGAGACTTAGTGAATGTATGGAGCTTGATGTTGTGGAATCATTTTTTTTTAAGGCTATGAAAACGACTCTGTAGAGGACTTGAAAGAGATGGCTTCCTCCGCATCTTCTCGGAAGAGAGGGAAAAGGAGATACTTCTGGGAATACAGTGAACAACTTACACAATCACAACAAGAGAGGATTCTGAGGCCATCTGAGTGGAACCGAGACACCTTGCCAAGTAATATGTACCAGAGAAATGGTTTACATCATGGTAAGAGGGGTTCAAAAATATTTAGTGCCCATTTCTCTTTTTTAGGGGTGGAGGTATTTTTTTATTTTGAGCCTTTGAGATGGGCTCTTGGTATGTAATCTAGACTGACCTCTAACTCTGTAACCCAGTGTGGCCTTGAGCTTTGAATCCCTCTACCTCTTTCTTCCAGATTGTAGGACTATAGGTATATGCCACCATACCTGTCTGGTGTCACTGTAAACAGTGATAATGTACCCTAATGCTTAGTGTGCTTGGGTTTTCAGCCCTTCACAGTCAGCTAGAGAGGGCATTGAAGAGAGCTTTTTAGTCACAATTGCTCCTTCTTACACAAAGCTTCCGTCGGGGTGGAGAGCCATCATTTCTGGTCCCCTTTTCCTCCACTCCAAGAAATGGCCAAGAGACTGCTACTTCTTGACCTGTCCAAAAACAAGCAACACACTAGGGAGAAAGCAGAAGAACTTCCTCATCACTCTCATTTTCTTCTACCGCAGACTTAATTTAATGGGAAGATTGAACTGTAAAAGGTGACGGGAAGAAAAGAAAAGGGGAAAAAGTGGAGAAGGGGAGTTTATAGAAATCAGGAGAAGTTAATGGTTTCAGTAGATACCTTAGTTAGGGTTTCTATTGCTGTGAGGAAACACCATGACCAAAAGGCAAGTTGTGGAGGAAAGGGTTGCATTTTAGCATTGCTATTCATCACTGGAGGAAATCAGGACAGGAACTCAAACAGGATAGGATTCTGGAGGTAGGAGCTGATGCAGAGGCCATAGAGGAGTGCTGCCTACTTGCTTTGTATGGTTTACTCAACCTCCTTTCACAGAACCCAGGAACACCAGCTCAGGGATGACCCCACCCACAGTGGGCTAGGCCCTCCTCCATTGATCACTAAGTAAACACCTTACAGCTGGATCTCATGGAGGCATTTCCTCAACTGAGGCTCCTTCTTCTCTAATGACTCTAGCTTCTGTCAAGTTGACCTACAAAACTTCCTAGTACAGTAGATCAGGACTGGAATTATGAATCCAGAAAGCTGTGATTAAATAGAATTTCTTCTGTTGTTTTCACAGTAGCTCCAGATAGTCTGCCAAAAAGACAGAAGGTATGAGTGAGATCAGTAAAGAGTGCACACTCATGCCACAAACTTCACTGGCTGAGCATTTTGGAAGACAAGAACTGATCCCCAGTCTCTCTGATACTGGGGCCTTGTTTTTCTAGTCACAGATCTATACTACCTTCAGTGAATTTTTATATTCAGACTTAAAAAAAACAGAAATGAAAAAATGAAGTCCAGTCAATAATTCCAGGTAGCTTGTGATGAGTCTTAGGAAAGCTGTTGGGCATACGGTAATACTTGAGAGGAATGAACTGGGACTGGGGTTTGGCTCAGTGGTCATGCTTACCTAGTATGCGTGAGGCCCTAGGGTTCACTGGATTGGGCATTTAGGAGATGGAGAGAAGAGAGGGAAGTGAAGGAGGAAGCTGAAGAAGAGCTTTTAAAACAAGGTGACCCCCCTCTTTTTTTTTCTTTTCTTTTTTTGTCTAATAGCTTATTTATTCTTAGAATCATGAATTGGTTTAGGTAAACTTACCTGGGTTTTTGTGTCAGATACTTAGTCCTTCTATGCAGAGAGTTAGGACTTTGATGCACAGGAGTTCAAACCTAGAGGAGAGTAGCACTGATTGATAGTGTTTAATCCAGGGCTTCATGCATCCAGTCAGTAATTCTGCCACTCACTGAGATGTATCCCTAGGGTACTTCCATTTCTCTAGCAGCAGGACTAGGCAGAGGGAGAGGCTAGCCCTTCTAAGTTAGGAAGTTAAACATTCTGTATCTCTTGAAATGTGCCAGGGCATCTAAAATGAAAAGTGACTGATGGTGACTATAGAAATTGCATATCTTGTTCACTAAAATGATCTAACTTAAACTCCCTTCAAATGACCTGTAGGGAAATATGCAGTTAAGAAGTCACGGAGAACTGATGTGGAAGACCTGACTCCAAACCCTAAAAAACTGCTCCAGATTGGTAATGAACTACGAAAGCTGAATAAGGTGATTAGTGACCTGACTCCAGTCAGTGAGCTTCCCTTAACAGCCCGGCCAAGGTCAAGGAAGGAAAAAAATAAACTGGCTTCCAGGTAAATTCTAATGATGTTCACCCATGTGAGTAGTCTCTAGGGGGTAAGATTAGACCTTGAGATTTTGTAGAACAGGTGACTTTCAGAAATTATTTGCTAAATAGCTACTATAGCAAGGTTTTTTGTTTCGTTTTGTTTTTCGAGACAGGGTTTCTCTGTGGTTTTGGAGCCTGTCCTGGAACTAGCTCTTGTAGACCAGGCTGGTCTCGAACTCACAGAGATCCGCCTGCCTCTGCCTCCCAAGTGCTGGGATTAAAGGCATGCGCCACCACTATAGCAAGGTTTGTTGATGTTTTAAGTGAAGATGGCATTTATGCTCTTAGGTAAAAGTATTGGGGATGAGACAGACAGAGTCAGTGCATTGTATTATGGTATAACTTGAAAGCCTTAAAACTCAGGTTTGCTTTTTTGCTAAGTGAGGTTGATTGAAGATAGTTAAAAGTAAAATTCACCCATTTAGGTATGATATTATAAGCTTGAGGAACATAATAACTAACTACCAACATGATCAAGATGAGATACATTAACGTTTTTATCACCTTAGAAAATGATAAAAACAAATTCCTCACCCTAGGCCTTTCACAACCATTGATCTATTTTATTTTATGTGTATGGGTGTTTTGCCTGCATGTATGTCCATATACCACTTGCAGGCCTGGCATCCATAGAAGCCTGAAGAGAGTGTTGGATCCACAGATGGTTGTGTGACATTGGATGGGTGCTGGGAATTGAACCCAGGGAGCTCTAGAAGAACAGCCAGTGCTTTGAACTGCTGAGCCGTCTCTCAAGACCCTGTTGATTTTTCTTCTTCCTCTTCCTCCTCTTCTTCCTCTTCTTTTTAAATTAACAGTATCTCATAGTGATCTGTCCTTTTCCAGAATGTCATAGGGATAATGTACTGTAGTAGTCTTGAGTCTGTCTGTCTTTAGCTTAATGTGACACATTTGAGAACCACCCATGGCGTCTCAAATGGTGGGCTACTGATTTCTTTTATTACTGTATAGTCAGTCTTTATAGGAGTATCACACAGTTTATCTGCTTACCTGCTGTGAAGGACCTTTGAGTTCCTTCCAGATTTTGGCATGTTTGAATAAAGCTACTCTAAACATTGACTTACAGGTGTTTGTGTGGGTATGAGTTACATTCCTTTTGGATAAATGCCCAGGTCTATATTGTATGGTTTATCTTTGTAAAAAAGCTATCAACCATGCTGCCTTCCAGAGTAACTGAGAAGTGTTTTACATCCACCACGACAGATGGGGCTTTACTTTCTTCAAATCTTCTACAGCAGTTGGAGTGTTGTCTGTTGTTGTTTGCTTATTTTGTTAAAGTTACTTTAATAAGTATCTACATAACAGCTCTAGTTTTTGAATGTGTGCTTAATTTTTAAATGTTGATTTGGATAAATGGTGATGTGTGCTTTATAATTCAGTTCTTTGATAGATATCATTAAACAAGTGACTTAGAGTTACTATTAGGAACATTAGGGACTGGAGAATGGCTCAGAGGATAAGAATATTTGCTCTTCCAGGGAACACCTAAATTCTGTTCCCAGCACCCACATGGTGCTCAAAACTGCCTGTAACTCCAGCTCCACAAGGATCCAGTGACTTCTGGCCTCTGCAGGCACCTACATACGTAAGGCTTTTTACTCAATATTGACATACATGTAAATAAAAATAAATTTTTAAAAAACGCCTTATGGATGCCAGAGAGGTGACTTCAGCAAGTACAAGAACAAGCTTCATGAAGCAGGTGTGGTCTCCAGATCCCACAGTAGAAGAAGAGAACCAACTTCTAAAGCCTGTCCTCTGACCTCCACACATGCACACCTTCACATACACTCTCTTGCTCTCTAACATGCATGTGCACACACACCCACATACTCATGCACACTCTCTAATGCACGCACATACCAGAAGAAAAAGAAGGCAATTTCAAAGAAGGGTGTTTAATAATAGCAAATCCTTTTGCTACTATCATTCTTTTTTTAAAAAATCTTTTATTTATGGAAATGTATTCTGACAGCTCTTGAAGTGAAAAATAAACTGATAGTAGCTCTTCCTTTCACAGAGCTTGTAGACTAAAGAAGAAAGCTCAATATGAAGCTAATAAAGTGAAGTTGTGGGGCCTCAACACTGAATACGGTAAGCCCCAGTCTTCAGTTTCACTCTTTCTCCTTGGTTTGCATATTCTCCTCCTTGAGCATACTATTTGGCTCTCCTCTTTTGTTGTTCTTTTGTGAGAGGAGAGGGTTTGAGACAACACAGCCACAGTTGTCCTGGAGCTCACTGTGTAAATCAGGCTGGCCTGAAACTCACAGAAATCCACCTGTCTCTGCCTCCCAAGTGCTGGGATTAAAGGTGTGAGCCACCACCATCCAGGTTGGCACTCCTCATTTGCATTTATCTATTTAGAAAGTCACATGCCCACTGTCAATTCATTCTTGTCTTCAAGAGTGACAAGATTTGTGGTTCCTTAGACAAATGACACTACTGTTGACATATGCTAATTCATGGTCCAGTTTTCCTTGTTATGGTTGTATTTCTAGGTTAGCCAGTGTGGCCTATTGATTTTTACTATTTCCCTTCTTTTCAGTTGTGTGGATTTTTGTAGGTCTGTATTGTTCACATTGGTTACATATTGAAATCCCTCTATATCTATTAAAATAAGGATTTCTGGAATTTCTTAGATCTCAAGAATTGCATGAGAATTTAAGACTCCTCTCTTTTCTTTCTCTCCTTTCTTCTTTTTTATTTTTTTTTATTTTGCCATTGTTGAATATTTCAACATTGTAGGCTTAGCTAGCCTAGAATTTGCTGTTATAGACCAGGCTAGCCACACATTTACAGAGGTTCTTCTGCTTCTGTTTTCTGAGTATTGAGTTAAAGATCTGCACCATCATATCCAACAGAATTCATATTTTTGACATGCCTCATATTCTAGGTTATTTTGTTGTTTTCTTATGTATTTTTTACATAGTTAAGAATCCAACCCGGGGTTTTGTGCATGCTAGTGAGGTGAGTGTTCAACCCCTGAGCCGTGTGCATAGCCCTTCCTTTTTATCAAATATAGTTTGTTACATAATTAAAAGCAAACTCCCCCTTGTTGGTGACATATTCTAAGTGTTTGCTTCTGTCTTCTAGACAATTTATTGTTTGTAATCAACTCCATCAAACAAGACATTGTAAACCGAGTTCAGAATCCAAGAGAAGAGAGAGAACCCAGCATGGGGCAGAAACTTGAAATCCTCATTAAGGACACACTCGGTAAGGAGAACATTATTAGATAGTAACAGCTTGCACTATGTGGTGCCAGAGTCAAAGAGTTCTGTCATTTTAAGGAAACTCGTGTTCTCAGTGCTCTCCCCACTTCATTCCTGCCTCATCACCTCCCACCCTGCCCCGGGATTTATCACTGTCAGTATTTTTACGAGAGCCTAACAAACTTGTGCCTCTGGATTCTCATCCCTGACCAGGTTGTACACAGTGGAGAGGACTAGAGAGGCCAGGCTGGTTGGTGGCTTGTGGGAGGAATGACTAGGACATATGAGATACTGCAGGGCCAGGAGGTGCACTAAGAGTGAATCACAAGGGCTGCACAACTTATTGCTGTCCCAGAAAGCTCCAGACTTGTCACAGTAAAAAGCTAGTGTTCATCTTGAGTATAATCAAAAACAATCTCAGATGAAAAATAGGTCCAAAAACAAGTACTTTCCTAGACAGTCACTGTTTGCCTGTGAAATTGCACACAGAAAGCAGTAAGGCAGTTTGCTTGACCTAAGTAGATGGACGATTTTATAGCAGTCTTTTTTTTGTTGTTGTTTTTTGTTTTTTTTCGAGACAGGGTTTCTCTGTATCTTTGGAGCCTGTCCTGGATCTAGCTCTTTTAGATCAGGTTGGCCTCGAACTCATAGAGATCTGCCTGCCTCTGCCTCCCCGAGTGCTGGGTGGGATTAAAGGCATGCGCCACCACCACTCCAGCTGATTTTATGTATTCTTTCAAAGAACTTCCAGTATTCTTTAAAAGCATCCCAGTTTTCATGTGTTAGTTTGAGGGAGAACTTAATATCATAAAATTACTATTTACCTTTTTGGTTTTTTATTTAAAAGCTTTTGCATACCCATTAAGTATGTGTTCTCTTATACTACTAGACAGACAGTTTGACCTTTTGCAAAGTGCTTGGCATATATTTTCTTCCCTTGAATGTTCTGAGGATGTTTTTCCTTCTCTTCTGGCATAAAGTGTTTTTGTTAAAGAACTGATCCCTGCATTAGTGTTTCTTGATGGGTTGTTTGTTACCCTTGCATTAGATACATAAGATTCCTGCTCCCTTGTTTCTCTCAGTGTGCTTTGAGGTTTCTGTGTTATTGGGCTTCTTCTGCTTCCCCTGAGGACAGCTGAGCACCTGTATGTCAGATCTGCCTTGCTCATCTCTGCTCTTTGTTACTTCCTCTTGAACCACTTTTGTCTCCTCATTTCTTTTTTTTTTTTTTTCATTTTCACTTTCCTCTTAGTGCTCTTGTGTCATGTTGTGGGGTGTGGGGGTCATGGAAGTCAGGGTCTCAAACACACTCAACAATACTGCTACCCCTGAGCCACAGCCTCACCTTTTCTTGTTACTTTTGTTTGTTTGTTAGCTTAAGGAATTCCTTTTATTTTCATTGTTTACCAGGTCAGAGGACAACTTGGAGAAGTGGCTCTCTCCTACCATGTGGGTCCTAGGGCAAAAACTCAAGTTATCAGGCTTGGCAGCAAACACCTTTACCCACTGAACCATCTTAACATCTCCCTTCCACTTTTTGATGGTCTTTCTAATGTAGTTCAAACTGACCTCAAACTCAGGCAATCCTCCCTTCTTATGACATGAATATGGAGGTCAGAGGACTTACATCATGTAGGTTCCATAGATGGAACTCAGATTATCAGTCTTGGTGGCAAGTGCCTTTATATACACTGAGCCTTCTTCCTCTTTCATGTCTTATGGCATTTTCTTCACTATTGTTTAGTTTATTTTGAAATAACAGTGGGCTAGGTTATGACATTTATGATCCAGTCTTTAGGTATGCCTTTCATTGTTTTTAGATATCATCTGGTCTGTCTGTCTGTCTGTCTTTCTTTCTTTCTTTCTTTCTTTCTTTCTTTCTTTCTTTCTTCTTTCTTATTTTCTTTCTTTGTCTCCTCTTCTGTCTGTCTGTCTGTCTATCTCTCTCTCTTTCTCTCTTTCTTTGAGACAGGGTTTCTCTGTATAGCCCTGGCTGTCCTAGAACTCGCTTTGTAGACCAGTTGGCCTCAAACTCACAGAGATCTGCCTGCCTCTGTCTCCCAAGTGCTGGGATTAAAGGTGTGTGCCACCACCACCCTGCTTCCTCTTTTCTTAAAACAACTCTTTCATGGTATTTTAGGCACCTTCTAGACTTGCTAGGTTCTTAGGTCCAGAACAGAGATATGGACAGAAAAAAAGTTTAGTCACTTTTGAGGATAGACGTAGCCTTTCTTTTTTTTTTCTTTTTATTGATTTTATAGATGTAGCCTTTTATGGGTCATTTATGTAGTACCCACTGTGTACCATATTTGCATGACATGAGTTTTTCTCTCACATGTTTTTTTCCTCACATGTAGCCCATGGGGGAGTGGTGATGGGGGTGGCATTCCAATCTTTTTCTCTGCTGTTGTTTTCTTTCATATGCTAATCTTTTTAAAAGATTTGTTTATGTGTATGAGTATTTTGCTTGTTTGTATATCTGTTTATCACATGAGTACCTGTTGCCTTCAGAAGAGGGCGCCCCTGGAATTGGGGTTACAGATGGTGTGAACTTCCTTGTGATCCTAGGACCTAAATCGGGGGTCCTACAGAAGAGCAGTCAGTACGCTTAACTGCTGAGCCATCTCTCCAGCGCTTATACACTAATCCTGAGACAATGGCATTTATTCTTGGTACTATTCTGTTGCCTTTTTTTCCTGAAAATTTATTTAAAAATTAATTAGCACAAAAAACATACTAGGTTTTGTTAGGCCATTTTTTTTTCAATTTGCTTTCTATTTTATTTTTATGTGTATGGGTATTTTTTATTAAGAATTTTTTAATACAATCTTTTCTCATTTTACATAGCTATTCCCATTCCCATTACCTCCCCTCCTCCCACCTCACTCTTATTCCTCCACCCCACCATCCATTCCTTAGAAAGGGTAAGGCTTCCTATCGGGAGTCAGCCAGGTGTGACACCTCACTTTGAAGCAAGACCAAGGCCCTCTCCCCGTATATCTAGGCTGAGCAAGGTGTCCCTCCAAAGAGAATGAACTCCAAGATGCTAGTTCAAACACTAGAGATAAGTCCTGGTCCCACTGACAGTGGCCCCACAGACTGCTCAAACCTCACAACTGTTCCCCACATTCATTGGGCCTAGGTTGGTCCTATTCAGGTTCCCCTGCTATCTGTCCAGAGTCAGGGAGCTCTCACTAGCTCAGGTCAGCTGTTTCTATGGGCATCACCATCATGGTCTTGACCCCTTTGCTCATATTATTGCTCCTCCCTCTCTTGTACTGGTCTCTGGTACCTTGGCCCAGTGCTTTGCTGTAGATCTATGTATCTGCTTCCATAAGTTGCTGGTTGAAGGAGCTATGATGACAGTTAAGGTAGTCATCAATTTGATTACTGGGCAAGGCCAGTTTAGACGTCCTCTCCATTGTTGTTTAGAGTCTTAACTGGGGCCATCCTTGTGGGTTCTTGGGAATTTCCCTGGTGCCATGTTTCACACTAGCCCTTTGATGGCTCCCTCAGTCAAGATATCTTTTTCCTTGCTCTCCCTCTCTGTCTTTCCGCCTTCTTGAGCATCCCATTTCCTCATGTTCTCTTCCTTTGAAAGCAGTGCTAAGGGGCATTGTCTAACAAATTTGTTCTTCTTGATTCTCTTCCCCTCTTCTTTCCTATTCCCCTTTTATTTTCTGCTCATGGCTACTTTTCCATTTTCATGTTATTTGTGTCCTGTTGTCCTCCCTCACATCCTGAACCCCTCTTTTCCTTCTCCATTTCATAGCCTGAACCTCCCCTCACCTCTACTCCCATACATCCATAGAGACATAAAAACTAGGATTGACATTAGATCATGAGACTTTGGCTTTCTGAATTACCTCGTTTAACATTCATTTTTCTAAGGTTATCATGATTTCAGTTTTCTTTATAACTGGATAAATTTAATTGTATACAGGCAACAACTTTTCAGTGTCCATTTGACTTGGTTCATATGAGCTTTTCTGACTTTATGGAGGCCCCCCTTCTTAGTTCATGGCAGCTTGCTTTCTACAGTTTCTTGTACTATTTTGTTTGGTCCACATTGTTCTTTCACATATTTCCTCCATCTCTTGTCAGTTTCATTTCCAGTCCTTGTACCAGTGCTTCCTGCTACTATCAGTGACCTGGCAGAGTTTTTTAAAATTTTCCTTGCATCTTTCTTTTATTCAGTGCTTACTGCTTGATTGAATAAAAATCCCAATGGTTTCACCTATGGATCTTGTTGACCTTCTGTGCTTTCCATGTAATTACCTGCTAGCTAATTTAGAATTTTTGTTCTCAAGTCTATTGGTTCCTTTTGGTTTGTCTTCCATGTAAACTGTTGATGCTGACACCATGTGGGTCTTACAGATCTGGGTAGTTTGTTCACACCCTCTTGAGAACGTTAGGAATGCAGAAGAGTCCAGCTCTCATGGAGATCCCTTTTTACTTGTTTACTAATTTCTTAAGGTTTTTAAGAAATAACTAGACTAAGGAATTTTGAGCCAACTAGATCTTCATAAGGAGACCTCTTCTCAAAGAGAGAAAAGAAAGTTGACAGAATATCTCCACCAGTGGCTTCTAACTCCTGAGCCAAAGTGATCCTCATTTCTTAACCTGAGTAGCTCAGCTTTCCAGGGGCTAGACTTTTGTAGAGTTTTATTTTGCTTTTTGAGACAGGATCTTGCTATGTAGTCATGAAGGGCTAAATTTCAGGAATGCCTCATGCCTAGCTACTGTTGTTTTATGTGGAGAATTGGAAATAAATCTCTGCTACTACAAATGTGGAAGTCACAATTACTTGAGTTCATGTGTTCAAGACCATCCTGGCCAAATACAAGGAAAATTCATCCCAGAGTCTCTATCAGGTTAGATGCATTTGGGGTTTCTTTGTATTAATTACTTTGTTATTACTTCCTTGTATTAATTGTTATTGTTTGTTACTTGTAATTATTCTTTGTATTAATTAATCCTTTGCTTAGAACACTTGGAGAAGCTGTTCTGCTAATGACACTTTCTTCTAGAAATCTTGTACATCTTTTATGGAAAGCTGTACATTGCAGCCCCTTCTGAGTCAGTTTGATCATTTATATAGTCCTAAAAAGTTCTCTTCCTCCAGAACCTTAAATTTAGTAAATTTGAGCAAAAGTAATAGTCTCCCCATGGTAGGTGCACCCTTTTTGTTCATATGCACATATGTAGGTGTGTGTGTGTGTGTTGTGCTGTTCATTATTTCTTAAATAAGTTGGTTATATATTGTGTGCATTTTCCCTGGAGAGATGTGAACTAATATCTGTTTATGCTAGAAGGACACCAGCAACAGAGCAAAGTAATGATTCCCCACACATCCATCTTGGTAAACCAATGAGTTTATCTGGCTTAAAGAGGACAAGTTAGGGGTTGCTTGCAGGAACATTGGTTACCTCTAAGCAACTGTTACCATCACAGAATTACCCCATCATGGTATTTACCTCCTGGAAGCTACAATGTAGAGAGAAAGGTGGAGGCAAGATGATCAGAAAATTCAAGGTCATCCTTAGCTACATTGAGAGTTCAGGGCAGCCTGTGCTACACAAGAAAGACCCTGTCTCAAAATAGAGTTAAATAAAATTCCCCCAGAGATAGGAAATACTTTGGTTTTACTAGATCTTCTGGTTTATTGCTAGTATTATTACTTGTTGAGATTTTCTTAACTGCCAAATATATTATTACAATTTGATATTTTGTAGGCATCTATTCAGGTCACCATCCCCTTTTTATGTTGTCTTTCTCTTTGCCTGTGGGTCTGTGTATATTCTGAATAAAACTGAGAAACGCTCTCATAATGTGTTTTGAGTTTCACCTCCTGTGTTGTTTTTGCTTTTAAATGTTGGGTTTCTGAATAGGAGTTAGTACTACTAGATCTTCATTTGCATTTAGGATTTGAATCCTACAGTAGGAGAGTAGCAAAAAAATAGTACAGTGTATGCCTGTATTTTACTGACCTCATTTCGCCAATAGCTGAGATTTTACTCTATTTGTTTTATTTCTTCTCCTGTATACATGTGTATTTGGGGGAATGTTTGGAGCTAACTTGTAAGTATCATGATTCTTTATTTCTGTTTCAGCATGCATCTCTTAAAAAAAAAAAAAAAAAAAAAAAAAAAACAAGGAGTTTTGTTTTGCTTTGTTTTTGAGACAGGTCTTGGAACTTGTTATGTAGACCAGGCTGGCCTCTGATTGATAGGTGCTGAGATTAAACGTGTGTGCCACTACATCCAGCAAGTATGTCTTATTAGCCACAGTACCAGCAGTATATCTAGATGTATGAGCACTGCTGTGATCTCCAATATGGTCCTCAAGCTTACATGCCTCTGCATGCTTAGTTATACCCTTTACATTGTGTGTGTGTTCTGTTTGGGAGTATATTACTGGATTTAATTAATCTCCTTTTGTCTCTATAATTTCTCAGATCTTTTTCTTTTTAAATGAAAATTCTAAGTAATTGGTTCTCTTAAGTGTCCCAACATTTGGATTTATCTGTTTCTTCTTGTAAAGTGAAGTGAAATGTGTGTGTGTTTAGGTGTATACATATGCAAGTACACATGCATATATTGTGGGGGCCTGTGTGGAAGCCAAAGGTCAGCCTCAGATATCTTTTCTTAGGAGTCATCCACCTTGTTTTTTTCTCACTGGGGTCTGGTTTCACGAATTAGGCTAAGCTGGGTGGCTAACAAGCTACAGGAATCCCTCTGTCTCCACTCTGCAGCTCTGGGATATACAAACACATGCCACCAAGCCCACTCAACTTTTTACATGGTTGCAATCTAACTCAGGTCCTCATGGTTGTGCAGTAAGTGATTCACTGACTGAGCCCAAGAGTTAAATTTTTGGCAAGAATTTACATATCTTTCTCATTCCGTTAGTCAAGAGCATGGCGTGAGTTTGTCCTATTAGTGATTATCCTGAGCTTGACTGAATAGTTGAGGTGGCCTTGATATCTTTACAACTTGTTGTATGCATATTAATCAGTGATTAAATCAGTGTTTTCTATTTCTATAGCAGTCTTTTTTTTTCTTTTTTCTTTTTTTTTCGAGACAGGGTTTCTCTGTGGCTTTGGAGCCTGTCCTGGAACTAGCTCTGTAGACCAGGCTGGTCTCGAACTCACAGAGATCCGCCTGCCTCTGCCTCCCCGAGTGCTGGGATTAAAGGCGTGCGCCACCATCGCCCAGCCCATTTTCTTTTTCTTTTCTTTTTTTAATATTTATTTATTTATTATGCATACAATATTTTGTCTGTGTGTACATCTGCAGACCAGAAGAGGGCACCAGGTCTCATTACAGATGGTTGTGAGCCACCATGTGGTTGCTGGGAATTGAACTCAGGACCTCTGGAAGAGCAGGCAATGCTCTTAACCACTGAGCCATCTCTCCAGCCCCCATTTTCTTTTTCTTGTGTGGGTTACCACTCCTCCATTTCACTGTCAGACAAGGGCTCACTATGTAGCCCAGGCTAGCCTCAAACTCATGATCTTCCTGTCTTAACCACTCGAGTTCTGGGATTACCAGCATGTGCCACCATTCCTAGTTTCATTTCCCTTAATACTTAAAAAAATCTTAACCCTGTTTAAGTATTAATATTAATTATTTCTAGCTATCTAAGATAAATAATAGGATAGGAAGTCAGCATACTTGTGCTGTTCCTAATTTCTCTACCTCTAGTATTCTACCTTTTCTTATTCATTCACTTTTATTTAAAGTAAAGAAAGAGGAATTTAAATTATACAAGTAATTTTAGAAATCATTAGGCGTATCTTTTGTACTTACGGTTGTAGTTGTGTGTATCCACAACAGAACACAATGAGGTCCAAACAGTTGAAGGAAGCAAACTCAGAGACTTAGGAAACAGTGCTTGCCAGTGGGCCTTGGCTTCCTCAACCCTGTCTCGAAAAAAAAAGAAAAAATATTGCTGCGTGTCATCTACCACTTTAAAATGCTTCATGACTCTTGGTGTGGGTCTCTTTAGGACATGTAGTCTGCCCTGTAGGATGGTTTTCTGGGCAGCATCAGCAAGAAGTGGAGCCCAGTATCAGTGTTTCAGATTTCTTCCCTGCCCTTTATGCCCTCTCCATATTTGTATTTTAAAGTGTACCTTTTATTCTCTTCAGGTCTCCCAGTCGCTGGGCAAACCTCAGAATTTGTTAACCAAGTGTTAGGGAAGACTGCTGAAGGCAACCCCACTGGAGGCCTTGTAGGACTAAGGATACCAGCATCAAAAGTGTAATCAGCCTCATTGGACCACTGGTCAGAAATGTCTGTTTTTGTCACTTTATCCATTGTAAATTTTCATTCTGTTTTGCATGTCAATTAGCATTATGTAAACATTTATAATTAGGTTACATTGTTTTAAGAACTTGTAGCATAAGTGAAGCATGATCCAAATTACTTGATTATTGCATATTCAGAGCATAAACCAGTGACCCTGCTGCTGGCATTAGAAAGGAAGCTCATGTTAAGTAAATGTGAAGTACAGATTGTAAACATCTGTTCAAGCAAAGCATTTTGGAGGAGTGAATATATTAATATAATGCTAAGTATTAAGGTGGGTTTATGCTCTGAACCACACAGAAATACCGAGGAAGCATTTTTTCCAAATCCATTTAGATTGTTTTTAGAATGACTGCTTTTTTGTTCTAATTTTTCACAGCCATTAATCTCACTTGTATGTGGTGCACCTAGCACTCATGTGTGTACCATGTTTAGATGTTTTATTTTTAGAGCTCAATATGATATATAAATATACAAATATATATACATATATAATTGTCTGTGCAAGAAAGAAAAAGCATATTCTTTGTGCCTTGTATTTTGGGGAAACTCTAAAACTGGTAATATTTTGTATGATGAAAACCCTAATGAGGAAAAACAAGATATATAGATGAGAAGATTATGGGGTTTAAATGTCTTTTTGTTCCAACTCTTTTTCAAATTTTTTGAATGTATATAGGACTATGTTGAAATGTAGATATATGCCACAGAGTCTGTGTATTGTATAAAAAAAAAGAAACAAAAACAAACAACAAAGATGGCTCTAGAAAACTCCTATTTCGGTACTTGACCGGAAGAAAATACTTGCACATCATTGCGATTGTTTTATTTTTTCTACCAAAGACAAATGCAACTGGTATGGCAGACTGCCAGTCTAAGTAAAGTTTTGCACAGCTTACATGATACTGTATGAATGTATGAAAAAAAGAGAAAAAAATTAAAAGGTCAGGGTTAGGGATCTTATTCAACTGTGAATTTTATTTCTGTTTGGGTCCAATTATCTACAGAAGGAGCATCCATACATACAAATATTATTTTGCTGTTCCTCTAGTTTGCTTCCATAGTAGATAAGTTGGTGGCCATTTAGGTGTCTTTTATTTCTGCACTTATTGTAGGAAATTTTAATATATTTCGTATTAGTAAGCTATTGATAAAATAGTTTTTGACTTTGAAAATTAAAGTTTATTTAGCTTATTGTAGTATACTTCCACCAAACAACCAAAATAAAGATTATTTTTATTGTATTATATATATATATATAAAAAGAAAAAAGCTAAAAATATCTAATACTTTAGTTGCCACTTTTCCAATTGATGTATTATTGTGCATGTAATATTTTCAAAGATCAACACAAGCTTAAAAATTTATAAATTTTTATATTTTTGTACAGGTATTTTCTTCAAACTTACATGTGACTTATTTTCTGTAGTTTCTAGAATTGAGAACATGAACATGTTTAGTTTTTAGGTGCTCTTCTTTGCTCGTGTAAGCGGCTGTATTAGTCAGTTTAACTGTGCTCAGGCTTTCCCTCTGATGAGAAACTCATCTGTCACGGCAGCGTTATAACCTCCACATGTCCTGCCATCTGTCTTTCTTGATGGTTTTATCTCAAATCTTGTGTTTGGAACTATGAAAACTGGTAGCTTAAAAAGTAAAAGCAAGCATATCTAGAAGAAAAACCTGAATTTCAGACAGTTGCTGTTTCTCCATTACCCATTGATAGAACTAAACTAGTTGTCCTTGGGCCTTGCAGTAGTTTCTTTTCCTTTCTCTTCCTCCTCCCCTTTTGTAAGCTACAGCACATGAAGGTTCAATTCTAGAACACAGTAACAATCCAGAGATGTGTCTTACTTGCTCTTTGACATCCTGAAACATAAACGAAGAACTGTCATGACATGTTAGCTATACTGTGACAAGGCTCCTATGTGTTTGGTGGAAATGTACTTGTTCGTGCGCTCACCCAACAGACAGTGAGCTCACATCTCATGCTTAGTAGAATGCAGGTGTTCACTTTTAGCTGGGAGAAAGAAAGCATAGGTTCACAAATGGAAGTATACGAAGGCTTGGCAGTGTATATCTGATAAATTGTTAGTGTTTCAGAATATGGCAGTTTTGTAGTCAAGTGAACATCGCTTCATGGTAGCGATTCATTTGGTAAAGTTTATAAAATTCCCTATTTATAGCTGCCCTGTTAGGAATTCTGGTTTTTGATACCCTTTTCCTGTCTGCAAACCAGAATTTGGTTTTTTGGTCTTGCATTTCAAAAGACTTTGAATCTGTTTAGTAGATTCCATACCCGTGCATTTCAGTGTTTTATATGTACTACTTAAGTTAAATAGTTGAAAGCCTTTAAATAGTTGAGCTTTTTAATGTTGACACTTTATTTTGTACCTATTTATATATGTATGTATATCTTAGAAAAGCACTTTGTTATAAAATTGCATTTTATATGATTCCTGCCATTTGCTGCTAAACCTGGGCTGGTCAGAACGCTGCAGCGATACTTGATCTAAATAAAAACCTGGCAGTAAAATGTAGAGTGCAAGTTAAATCCTCTTGCTGTTTAAGATGACATAGGCAAGCTGTGCAGCTTTACATTTTAACCAGGGGACTCTGTGGCATTTAAAACCGTCTAGAAATGGTTGTACTTTTAATGCCAGTAATGATCTGCTTCCTTTATTGTTGTTAAAATACCTACACCTAGTGTATCACAGACAGTTCTCACGAGTACGTAAAAACCCCAACAGTTGTACATGTTCTGTTTTTTAAAATGGTGGCATGTATTTTTGGGTGGAAATCATTAGAGTGAGAACTGTCTAAAGGTTTTCTGCGTTCATACATGGTAAACAGATAGCTCATGAAGTCCAGAACCTTCCCCTAAGTGAAGGCATTGTGAATTCTCCTCGGATAAACCCATTGTTCCAAAAGCAAGCATAAACTGACTCTAGTACTACTACAGTAAAAAAGTAACAATGAACCTTCTGCTTCCTGGTTTCAGATACACTGGATTCTTTAGTCTGTGCCCACATGAGAGCAGGCTGCCCGGCTGCTCCTGTTGAGGTCGTGTGTGAGTTTTTCTGTCAGTGTGATTGCTTGCTGTGCTGTACCATGTATGGGTTCTTGTCCTTTCCATGTCCTTCATGAGATATTTGGGTGTGGCTTGATATTGTGCCTTACTTGTACACTTAAATGAAACATCTTCATTCCCTCCTGCTTCCCAAACCTTAACTTTGTCCTTTTTGTAAGAGAATCAGAACTATTCCAGAAGCATCATGAAGGATTTCAGATGGGTGTGGTTCCATAGTTCCCTCTCTTTGTAGTTATTTTATACTTGTATGAGAGACCACTTTTGAATGATCTTTGAGTAATCTTGCTGCACATCCCTTCTCTGGCTTTTGTGACGTTGTCGTGCATCTCTCTGATGCTTGACTTCATTTGCTTCTTAGCAAGAGTCTGCATTATAGAAAGGTGCATTCATTTCATCTGCTTGAATGTGATTTTGTTTTCTAGAACTTTTTAGAAGAGTACCCATTTTGTTTGTTTTTTTTTTTTACAACAGATGACAAGTCTCTTTAAAAGAAACAGAAGTACAGTACTTTTGAAATACAATGCTATTGGTATGAATTTTTCTTTTATATAATATTCATACAATTATCTGATGTTTGCCTTCATTAATAAAGCTGTTAGTTTACTCACCAAAATGTCGAGAATGGGCGTGCTCTTCTTTATTCCACATATTTAAATAATACTTTAGCTGCTAAGATTTAGTTAATTTCCTAAGACATGAATTCAAGTTGCCTTCAGCAAGAATTAACAAAACTCATGTTCCCTTTCTTTACATAGTCTTCCTAAAATTCTGTTCAACTACTTTCTAATTAATTATGTGACAGAATGTTAGCATCTCTCCAAATCTTGAAACTTGAATTTTGAGAATGCATTGAATTTCAGTGTTAATGGAAAAGGTCTCGACTATGTTTCTAGTGGAGTCTTTTGTGGAATGCCATTTCCCATGGAACTGCAACCACTTGCACAACTTTGCACAGAACTGCAGTCTTGTTCTTCCCTGGATCGTGACAAACGAGTCTCACACAGTGCTGTAATACTTGTGGATTCTTTCGTGATCTTAGTCATCTTAATAAGGGCATTATGAGAAGATGACTTCATGGTTTTTGTTTTTGTCTTTTTTTAACATTTCAAACACAGTGGGATGTAACACTGAATGTCAGCTGTAGGGATGGTGGTTTCGTCCTAAGGAATAAGCATGTTGGGGGAATGTGATGCAAATGTACTACTGAGAGTTACATACACACTTCCATAGGCAAGTGGGATTATGTGTTGAAGCATAGTCCCCGTGCTTAGTAAACTGAAATAGAAAGGACACCTAGGAACTGCACTATGCCAAATTGCCGTTTTGTTTTGAAGAGACTTTTGGAGGAGGTGAAGGTAACTGAACCTCACAGCTACTTCCAGATAGTATTTTGGAGTTGAAGACTCAGTGGCTAGTGAAGAGCACCCAGGTTTAGATCTCCGCGTGCCAAGTGGGAACAGGGCTTTGCCTCTTCCACAACAATGTAAACATCTGGTGTAGCTGACTCAGTTCCGGGTGCCAGGAGTGGGACTGATTCTGTGTCTTGCCTTTTGCCCTTTGTTTTTTTCGAACTAAATAACAAAACTGTGTACGTGTACTGTATTGGCCTTTCCACCACATGTTTAACGACACTGTACTTCACTGCCTGCTATTGTCTTCTTGCCCTAGAGTCTGTCCTTTAGCGTAGCATTTGTGGTTCAGTGACTCCGGAGCTGCCAACACAGAAGGACAAGAATACAAAGTGTTTGTTCCAGTGTTTTGGCAGCCTCTTCAAATAGTTGTGCCTAGGATCCTGTCTGTGATATGATCATAAATACTCCGTAGTTTTGTTTATTCCCTCACCTCCAGCTGGAGCTGTGACACTTTATTGGATTCAGTCTTGTCTCTTGTCTAGAAAGAATTGTATCTTGTTCACGCATGAGCTGTTTAAAAATGACTCAACGTTGGTAAATAGTTGTGCAGTTTTCCTTTCAGGAGAAGGCCATGCACAGGTCGCTTTGTTTTCTGTCACCCTCTAACCTGTCAGCACTGTAGTCAGACACAGAATCATCAGTGTATGCAGCACCCGTTGTAATTTAAAATAAAAATATGAAAAGAAAAGGTTTTGAATCGTTTGCCTCATATTTTGTCTTTTCTCCTTTCTGTTGCCTGCGACACGGCAGCCATCCATTTCTCAAGACAAACTGTTCCTAAGCAGTCTCCATCTTCACAGAGCGAGGGAGCCAACTGTACTGCCTCTTTGGGCATACAGAGTGCTAAGGATTATTGACATTGTAAACTGGGCTTCTAGTATTTCAGTGAAATTTAGCTATACCATAAAATTACTTGATAGAAACATTTGCTTTGTTTGTAAACAATAGTTTGTATTTAATTTATCCTTTGATAATTTGAACAAGAAATTTCTTCAAGAAAAAGTATCAAAACAGTCTTCAGGCTAGGGGAGCTGTGTACAGAAGGCCTCTGCCAAGGGGACCACACTAGGCGAAGGGGGCATAGGAGTGGGTGTTTTTCAGCAGCAAGTGTCTGTCGAGAACCTACTCTGCCACAATGTGTAGTTAGGTAGGTGCTGGGTTACAGAGGGATTGAAGAGAATGCCACAAAATCAGTCTACCACGGGGAGTGGCACGTGGGCAGGATGGCAGAAAACACAAGAGAAGTTGAAGGTATGACATCCTGTGGGGATGCTAAAGAAAGGATGAGGGCCAGGGAGATAAAGGTTAAAGTGCCAAGCAAGCATCAATCCCCAGCACTCAGATGAACAGCAGTATGTGGTGTGGGCACTTGTGTCTGCAGCCAGGGACGCAGACGTAGATCCCTGAGGCCCCCAGCACAGCATGGCCTACCTGGGAAGTAATGAGAGACCCCATTCCCCAAACAGGACAGCACCTAAGGGATGACAACTGAAGTTGACCTCTGGTCTACATATAGACACATACAACTTGACTCTTTTTTTTCTCTATTTGAGTGATACTGAGGCCATTTTTAAAAAAGGCAAAGTAGGAGTCAGGGGAGCAGGGCCAGTGCAGCTATAGCACAATGAAGCATTTGAAAGAGAAACATTGGGCTGGAGAGATGGCTCAGAGGTTAAGAGCACTGACTGCTCTTCCTGAGGTCCTGAGTTCAATTCCCAGCAACCACATGGTGGCTCACAGCCATCTGTAGTGAGATCTGGTGCCCTCTTCTGGCCAGCAAGCATACATACAGCCAGAACACTGTATACATAATAAATAAATCTTTAAAAAAAAAGAAAACATTTTTAGTTAATTCCTAATTAATTAGAAAATGTCCTGATTCAGCTAAAAGATAGAGCATTAGAAGGTAGTAGATGTCCTTAGGTATGGGGATGGCATCCTGTAAGCCATCTAGTTGTCCTGCTACTATCAGGCCCAGTGAGGTTTGTGGCCTTGTCTTTCTGCAGCAGCACTCAGATGAAGGACTACTTCCAGCCTATTGTAGCAGAGGTTCAGTTCACACTCTAGTCTGCTTGATAGACTCTGAGGACAATTCCTACTCAGATAATCAGGCCAGATCTTGAGCAATATTTAGAAGAATGTCCACATCAGAGGGAAGTAAGGTGCTTAGAATCAGAAGGTCCAAAAGATCCAAAGCCCACTCAGTGCAGCCAACAAAGGCAGTTCCTAAACAAAAGGAGCGAGACAGAGTTGGAAGAATCATGAGGGCCTCTGGGTCCCAGGCTGTGCACCCTTCAAGCTAGCCTGTAGCCAGGGGGCAGGGTTGGGTTGTCATGTTGGAGAGTAGAGACATGGGAAGCTGCCTGCTCTGGTTGCTGCAGACTGCCGATTGTGTAGGAATTTCCAGCAAGGATGATAAGTGAGGGTCCAAAGGCTAAAAATCCAGTACTGCCTTTGGGGTCCTCCAGTGTCCTAAATGGAGAACTTTACTCGGGACACAACAGTGATTTGAATGTCAATCTGTTTCTTTAAACATTTTTCATCCTAAAATGCTGCTTAGAATAAAAACCAGAAATATACAAATTTGAAAGAAGAGTTTACAGCGAAAAGCGCAGAAGAAACTTGAATGAATGAGAGAATACACACCAGGCTCCAGAACAGGGCCTGTCAGCGAAAAGCTACTGGTGCTGTCATGCTAAAAATGTGATACCATCTTAGCAAAATAAACCAAGGGGATGTCAAGTTGTGAGAAGAAAATAGCTGAAACATGTTGGGGTGGGGAGAGGATAAATTAAGTATTTTAATCCTACTGTAGAAGACTCTATAAAAACTGCCATTGAGTGCATGAATGGACAGGCAAGGAGATTAGAATAGTGAATTTAGAAATAGACACAAATAGATGAAAACGGTAGCATGGTTACTGTGGCATCCAGAACCAAGGTAAAATGAGTTGGGCCCTTCTCTAGTATTGGAGTCACCGAGAAACCTAGAAAATGTCAAGTTGGTTCTGCATCTCACACTATGAGCCAATATGTACTTCAAAATGGGCAAAGATACAGGTTTTTTTTTTAAAGCAAAAACAAAAACCCATAACCCATAAGCACCAGAAGGAAATATGTACAATCTTAAATCCTATGGGATTGGGAAGGATTTTTTTTAACATAGACTCAAGTCCAGGAGTCATAAATAAAGATTCACCAATGTGAAACTGAAATTTTAAATCATCTTTGAGATAAAAAGTTACCATAAACAAAGTCAGAATTCTGCCGATTTTACAGTGAGAATACTAATAACAGAAAGGGCTCCTGAAAACAAATCCAGTAGAAAAGTGCACAAAATGAATATGGTAGCTTTGAGACATTCTCAGTCTCATTCATTATAAGAGATGCAAGCTAAAGGCCTTTTAAGAAACACTGAATGGGGCCGGGCAGTGGTGGCGCACGCCTTTAATCCCAGCACTCAGGAGGCAGAAGCAGGCAGACTCTGTGAGTTTGAGGCCAGCCTGGTCTACAAGAGCTAGTTCCAGGACACTACAGAGAAACCTTGTTTTGAAAAAAAAAAAAAAAAAAAAAAAAAAAAAAAAAAAAAAAAAAAAAAAAAAAAAAGAAGAAGAAGAAGAAAAAGAAAAGAAACACTGAATGGTAAGATTCCCAATGTCAGCTCACCATGCTGGTAGGCTAAAGGAAATGGGCATTTCTTCTATTTTGCTGGAGCCACTTAAGCTGATAAGACCACTATGAAGAGATTTTTTGTTTAGTCCTGGCTAGGCTGGAACTGACCATGTTCTCTTTATCTGCTGGGATAAAGGTGTGCGCCACCATACCTAGAGAGAAAAGAAATATGAAAGCTTGTGTGAAGTTAAAATGCATGTCTGACAGCTTCACGTTGAACACCTGTAATTCTAGCACTTGGGAGTTTGAGGCAAGAAGACCAGGAGTTCAAGGTCGTCCTTGTCTACACAGGCAGTCGGAAACCAGCGTGGCCTATCTGAAACCCTGCCTCTGAAAAGCCAAGATAAAACACATATATCCACCTATTCCATTTGTTCTGTCCTCCTCTTCCCACTTCCTGTCGCCAAACTAATGAGTGTGATTATACAGGCGAAGCACCGAGTAGAAAATGCCTGTACTTCCATACTCCAGAATGTTGCTTGGGAATACACGAATAGCAACGAGGCATTGGGTTCAATACCACGTAACCTAAGGCTTCATGTATTACCTCATTTCACCCTCTAGGCAACCTTAGGAATGATGTTACTGATGATCACATTAGCCTTTGAGAAAACTGGAGTGGGGTTGGTGATGTGTACGCCTGGAGTCCAGGCCTTTGTTACTTGCAGTGAGGTGCACCTACCTTTTCAGAAGTGATGCAAACTGCCCTAGGAATGTAGGCAACTGTGGAGACTAAGGGGCTATGTGTGAAGTTTGAGAAAAACCATTTAAAAAAGAGGGAACCCCATATCCCAAGGCTACAGGGCCTGGAGAATGCCTGAGTGCCGGGAAAAGGGAAAGTATTATTACTAAGAAATAATAATAATTAAATAGTACTCCTAAAAGCGCTACCCTTCTATGAGTAGCACTGATATTGTTTCTATCAAAACCACACGACACAGTCAGAAAGAACAATTCCTGCGATGCTTGTAATCTAATTCTACACAAAGGGCAACATCAGAGCCATAGAAACACATAAGGCAATGTAGTTCTGTATAAGAGAAAGCCCTAGGATCTTGTTTGTACTGATGGAGGTGCCCCAGTGACCTGCATTGAATTCTACCCCTTTACAAATTTTTTTGTGTCTTACTCCATAATTCATACTTAACAGAGAAATTTTGTTTTAAGTTTTAAAAAAGAAATGCAGCTTTGGTGGCATCCTATTCGGTACTTTTTTGTTCCTATGCAAAAAGTCACTATAATAGCTGGTGCCTGAAAGATGGAAAGTGACCACTGTTGAGCGGATTTTTTGTTGTTTCTCTAGTAGTGGGGTCAGAACCCCAAGGTTATGCGGTATGCCAGACAAGCCCATCACCAAATGAGCTGTGTCCTTCAACCCTAATGGTTCTTCATAGTCACTTTCACTTTTCCGTTTAGTAGGAGCCGCCCAGAGAGGCTGTGAGTGTTCGGCATGTCAAGGAAAATCCCAGGTCTGGGCTGGCAACCTTGTTCGCTCTGTACCGCGTCTCCAGGCACCACATTCAGAAGTACGGAAGGCGGGCCGGCGCCACGCGAGCGCGCTCAAGTTTGGCCGCCGCCGCTCGCCATAGCCGGGCTCCAACATGGCGGCTCCCCAGGATGTCCACGTCCGGATCTGTAACCAGGAGATTGTCAAATTCGACCTGGAGGTGAAGGCGCTTATCCAGGTACAGATTCTTAGGCCCCCGCCGGGCTCTCTCTAGCCGCCTCGGCATTTTCCAAAATCTTCGCACCCGCCCAGCTTCCCAGGCAGGCGGCCCTCAGGCGCCATTCGGTCGGGTCTCCGGAACCGCAGAACCTTAAGCGCTTTTCATATGCACACAGTTGGTTCACCCGTCTCTCAGCTACCCTCACGCCCCTCTCCTGCTCCCTGACTTTACCGCAAAGGTTGGGGCTAGCCTGTTCCTGTCTCGTCAGTAGCCCCGCCCTGCCACCTCCCCCATCGCCTCGCACACCTACTTCCCTGTGTTAGGGGCACGGAACCCAGGGCCACCTGATAAGGCAGTCA